GGAGCTCTGCAGCCGGCAGCCTCCTGCCACAAAGGGGTTGATGTTCTCGTCGTACTGCTCAGGGTCGAACCCGTAGGATGCCCGGGGCACCAGGGGCTCCTCTGTGCTCTCTTCTGCTTTGCTCCCCAGCAGAGGTGGTTTCCCTTTCCCGAGCTGGCCCTGGCTGGGTGAGTGCTCCTGGACCAGGACATCAGCCCTCAGCTCTGCCAGCCCCACGCCTGTGTCCACTGGGTCCTCTCTTGACATGACCTGCTCCTGGGCTGCTCTGCCCGCATGGGGCCCCGGGGCACAGCCAGTGCCAGCCCTGCTCCCCAGCACAGCCTGGGGCTGCCTCAGGGATGAGTCTTCGGGGCTGGCTTCCCCTTCAGCATCAGAGTTGGCTCTGGGGGCTCCGCTCTCCGGTTGAGCCTCATCTTTGGGGTGTTTCCCAGGTGAGCTGTCCTGGCGGCCTCCCCCTGCCAGCAGGTCAGCGTGGCCACTTGGCTCTGAAAAGACAAAAGGAGCTGGTTACACCCCCTCCAGACACAGGAATGTGGGGGATGCTCTTGCTCACTGTGGCTGCGATGCACAAATGTGAGGAGCCCAAGGAGAGAAAACATCTGCGTGAGGCTGGAAATGGGGCAGGAGGGAAGGGGCATGGCAGAGCCCCACAGGATGGTACTGGGAGAAGAGAGCAGCTCTGCTCAGCACCCCAGGGCCCATCCCACTCACTGCCTGCACCCCTGCCTGTGCATTTGTACCAGGCTCCCCACACTGTGGTCAGTGTCTTAATCACAAGTCCTGATCCATGACTTAATCACTATTACTGCAATCCCTTCCCCTAAATCCTTTTACTGTTTAATCTTTGCTTTGCTGTCAGGGGGTGGGAAGCTCCTGAGAGCTACAGCCACAAAATGCCCAGAGCCAGGACCTCAACACAGGCAGGCAAAGGCACCAGAGGAAAACACCTGGTGTCACCTGCACCCAGCTCCTCTGCACCTCTTCTCCCACATCCCAACCAGGGATGACTGCACAGGATACAGCAGGATGGGGTGTTGAGGTGCTCAGCACCATCAGAATGCACACAGGACCTGCAGCTCTCGCTGGCACCTTCCTGGGACCCAGCCAGGTCCTCCAAGGGCAGCACAAAACCAGTGCTCACCCAAGGACCAAACTGGTCCCGCACACCCCAGCAGCCCTGAGCACATCTCCCTGGAAAAGGCTGTTTCTGTCATGGGGTGTTTGGAACCAGCTCATGTTTGCTGGTGACCAAGCAAGTCACAGGCTGGCAGAAGAAAAGTGAATCAGGCAAATATCTGGTCCCTGGGCTAATCCAGGACACAGAGCCAGCAGCCCTGACTCAGCTGATGGCTTGTGGTTGACATAATTGATCTCAAGGATGCTAAAAAGCCATGGAAATGAATCATGAGGGGCTGTGTGCTCCCTGAGACTGCAAAAAAAAGCTCCCTCGGACTGCAGAAAAGCTCCCTCCAAATAGACACTGTCTTGCTGCCCCAGAAAAGCATCAATAAACACAAATCCAGTGGAAGTGTACTTGGAGTGCAGCCAGAAAACACTCTGAGGCAGAGCCTGCCAAGCCCTCCCATCATTAGGAACCAGGAAAACCTCCCTACCAGACCCCAAAGAAAAGTTTATTACTCTTGCTGTGTTGCTCAGATGTTTTAAACCTCACCGAGACAGCCCTGAATAGAAGAGCAGACTTCAAAGTCAGGGCAAAAGGCACCTTTTAAATGCATTTCACATTCCCACCGGAAGGTTTTGCAGCCGCCGTTCTCACAGACATGAGCCCATCCTGGTTTCTAACCCAAGCAACGAGTAATTACTTCTGGAATAACAAGCAGTCGGCATGCAAACCACTGCTCCTTGCTGCGGGTGTCTGCAGGGCGGGGAGGGGAGGGATGGTGTGTGTGACCACTGCTCACAACAGCCACTTCTTCACAAAAATGAGAACTGCCTGCCCAGGTCTTCCAGTTCTGTGATTCACTTGTTTTCTGCACCCGAGACAGCCCAGCTCCTCCACTCAGACACCCAGCCTCCAGCACAGCCCGCCTGCTCAGCCAGTCTGGGACGCTGAGGAACTGGAATATACTGGAAGAGTTGGGGGGTGGGTGAAGGACTGACTGCTCAAGGAGCTTGCCACAGGAACCCCATCCATGTCCCAGCATGAACACGGACCTGCCAGCAGCAAGGCATGCTCAGTGAGCCCAGGACCAGCCCCAAACACAGACCCAGTTGCGGGCAGGATCCCTGACAACGGCAGCTGCCCCAGCAGTGCAGACGGGCCCCTGGTCCTGCTCTGGACACAGGGGGGACAGTGCAGAGGGAGAGGGGAGATTTTATACTGGCCAAAGGAAATGGTACAGATTGTGTTGCACAGCAGGAGCAGCACTCGGTGTGTGTGCATTACAGTCCTTGTCCTGCTCCTCCTGAGCCTGAAGGGAAACGCAAACAGCGACTACCCAAGGAGCCTTCCTGCCACCCCTGGCTCCCCGGGATGAATCACTGAAACTTGGCAGCAGCGCCGCGATGCAAAAGGCTCCGCGCCCTCCTCATCCCACACACCGCAGCCAGGCGGGGCAGCCGGGATCCCCGGCACGGCCCTGAGTGCCAATCGCCCGGGAGAACAACCCGCCAGTGTCTGCAGCCCCAGTCAGGCAGCCCCAGCTGCCCTGCCCTGG